ATCGCACAGTAAGACAATATCGTCCGCATACTCAAGGTGGGAGAGTCTTTCTCCAGGCAACAGATCCACACCGCCATTACTTAGATCCATCAGAGCTGTAGCCAGAATAACGTCGATGGCAAAGTTGAAAAGGAATGGTCCGATTAGGAAACTCTGTCTAACCCCACTGCTTGAATGGAGAGAGGTGGTTGTATGCCCTCACTCTGCCTGAGGTGTTTTTATATAGGGCTTTCAAGATGTTGATAAACACCTTAGATACACCACTCTTCAATAGACAATCCCAGAAAACAGTCCTATCCAACGAATCGAAAGCAGTCCTGATTTCAAGAAACACTACGATTGTTGGCCTTTGATAAGTATGGCGGTGTTCTAACATTTGGCGGAGGGTGATCAATACATCCTCGACCAGAACGAAACCCAGCCTGCTCCTCGCGAGTCAATCTTTCTCGGGTTTTGAACAACCTACGAAGTATGACGGAAGCCAATAGCTTGGACGCAATCGGAAGTAGACTTATCCCCCGATAATTGTTGCAGGAACGACGTGAACTCTTTTTAAAGATAGGGACAACTATCGACTCATTCCATGACGTTGGTACACTCTCTAGCTCCCACACCTTTGTAAACAACGTCGTCAGTCCCTTAGTCAGAAAGTCACCACCATCTTTAAAAAGAGTCGGAGGTAAGTCATCTGGGTCCGGTGATTTGTAGCGCTTCAAGAGTTGGAGTTCCTTGTGAACTTCCACCTCATTTGTTGGATCACTCTTCACCGACCATGGAGGGCAGGACAGTCTGACCGATGTTGCTGGAGCAGCAGGCCAGTTGAACTGACCTCCGAAGGATTCTGCCCATCGTCCAAGACGTCGATGGATGTTGGTGATTGGAATTCCGTAATTCTCGCAGATTGTTTCGCTCACACCAGACTTCTTGCTGCCAGTGGCTCGGATGGGTTGGAAGATCTTCCGGTAATTACCAGATGCAGCTGCTGCTTCCAGCTCATTAGCACGCTCCGACCACCAGGCTTCACGGTCCTTACGCAAGCTTTGCCCAATTTCCTTATGTAGCATCCTTCCTTTGTGGTCAAACTCACGGTCACCCGGAGTAGACCGACGGGCTTCAATGAGTTGTAAGGAACCTGAAGATACCCAGTGCTTATAAGCGGGACGTTTCGCGAACCCACAACTGACTGTACCCGCCATTTTCATGGCGTCATGCAATTGCAACCAATGCTCATCCATACTTTTCGGTGGAATGGTAGCTAGCCTAGAAGCTAGCTCGGTTCGATACTTATTTGTAACAGAAGTTGCAATCAGCTTGCTAATATCAATCCTTTGCTGGCGGTCACTTCGTTGTCCACTGAAAAGTAAGGCAAGATTGGCGCAGACCAAGGCATGGTCAGAGTCCAGATAGGTACTCGAAAAGGAGCGGCAGTCTTTTACACAACCACACCAGCGGTAGCTGATCGCGATGTGATCAATCTGAGTCCAGGCTTGGGATGCAGAGGGAGGACGCCAGGTGGCACATCGGCGATGACTGTGCCGAAAGTTAGTGCCAGCCAGAAACAGGTTGTGGTCTGTGCACAGTTGCAGTAGACGGTCCCCGTTATCTGACCTGCGACCAACGAATCCCCATCGGCCACCTAAACGACTCTCTTCTGCGCCTAGACGCCCGACCTGAGCATTCAAGTCTCCGGCTAGTACTACAATATCTGTCGAACGAACTTTCTGGAGAAGAACAGATAACTGGTGGTAAAACTCATCCTTGATTGCATCCGGGCTGCAATCTGTCAGAGCATAGGCAGAGATGACGAAAAGACATCGTTTCTCACGCCGATTTCTTCTCACTTTGATGGAGCTCTTTAATCTAACAGCACATAACCGACTGTTAATGGGGATCCAATCGACTAGTGCTGCCTCAGCTCTAGCGCTTAGTGCGACACCAACGCCAGCAAGACCAGACGAAGATGCCACAGGGTCCCCGGATAAGCGCACGTAAAACAAGCTTTTCGAAGCGACAGATGGAGATCGAATTTGTAGTACTTCGCCAGAGTCTTGAATACGGGTCTCGGATAGACAGCAAACATCAATATTAAGACTTTCCAAAGACATAGCCAGCCCTATCTGTTGTTCGACCTGCATTAGTGTGCGAACGTTGAAGGCAGCCAGTTTGAATGGTGCACGTGGTTTCAGAAAAACTGCTTCAGTTCTCGTATTCGGTGGTAACATACAATTTTCAACCGGACAGTGACTCGAGAACGTTTAGATACAGTCGAATTTCCACTATAGACGAGCTGCTGTAGAAGTCGAAAAAATAAGTATAAACAGAGTGGGGAAAAAAGAGGGTGAATAATGACGTAGTAAATAATAATAATAATAATAATAATAACAATAATGCAAGTCACTTGATTGTTATTTGGAGTGAGAAGAATATTTTTCATAAGTAGATAGTTTATCATGATTTTGTGCAGGCTGAGATACTGCCCGGGTGCCCAAACCGAAGCGAGTGATTACCTTAGGGGGCCACACCCCGAGCCTTTGACCTAATGGTCTAACCCACAAGGCAGTGGAGCATCGTGAGGAGATGCAGTCCCATGGAAGCCGGTGACCAAGGAATTGGTTCATACGCCATTTGTTCCCGCAGAATACTGCAGCCCATGTGTACCATTGGTTTGGAATCCGCTTAAAGCGCCGGACATTCGCTTTTCGTCCTCTCAGTTTTGTAAACAACACCCCCGCCACAAGAAGGCATTGATTATGACTTCTCTGGCAGAGGCTGTATACGCGTGGCCATGTGAGAGTATTTCGAGTGGGAGGGCGGACCCACCCCGCTCTCGGCCATACCAGGGCATTGTTTAATAAAGCAACCTTATAGGCGAAATCGAATCATCAATAGACTAGATAGTAAAAGACAAATCATACAATGTCGTTACACAACAGTCATTAATGGATTCTAAAGGCTTTATTATTACATAATATTATATTATAATACTATATGAACTTATTTCTAAAGGCCGAAATATTACTCAATGGGGAAATAAGGAGTGATGCTTGTTCAGACTTTTCTCTGCCAACAAAAACGAGTATTTCATAGATAAAATCAAATCTACACGAAAAGCTTGTAAAATATAGTGTTAAGGATGTGTTCCAATTTGTTGATAAAATCAAAAATGCAAATACGTTAGGACTAAAGATGATGTCATTGGATGTAATATCGTTATTCACAAACGTCCCACTCATAGACTGTAGAATATATAGGTGAACAGCTGATAGAAAATGAAATTGAAACTACTGTCCCTATTAGTGTCGTGAAAGAGTTATTACTCAAATGCACCATGAATGTAAATTTCAAGTTCAACGGTGAAATATATAGACAAACAGATGGCGTTCCGATGGGTTCACCACTGGACCCTATACTAGCTGATATATTTCTAGCCAAACTAGAAAATGGTCCACTAAAAAAGATTATTCGCAACTTCACATTTTACTGTAGATACGTGGATGACACGTTCATCCTCTGTAAAGATAATACGTCGCCGCAAGAGGTTCTTAGGCGATTTAATGAAGTGCATCCAGCCATTCAGTTTACATCTGAAGAAGAGAGTAATGACCGAATAGCCTTTTTGGACGTTCTCTTGACTAAGAGGGCGGATGGATCGTTAAAAAGGAATATAAACAGAAAATGTACATGGACTGGGCAGTATACGAATTTCCTGAGCTTTGTACCTCTTCAGTACAAACGAAATTTGATCAAAAACCTGAGTTACCGTATTCGCACTATATGTTCTACTGATATAGTCGAACAAGAGCTTACCACCTTGTATAATACTCTTAGGGAGAACGGTTACCCTAGAAAGTTTATAATTAAATATATGGTCTCGAAGGCGAAAGCAGGCGAAATACAAACAGTGTATAAGAAATCCCTGTTCATGCGTCTACAATTTAGAGGGGATGCGGCTAGCGAAATACTAACTCAGAGATTACGTAGGACAATACAAAAGTCTTTTAACGCCGGAGAACTACGATTAGTATTTTCTACGCGCCCAATGGTTACACCGAAGCTAAAAGATGAATTACCTAGAATGACCACCTCATTTTGTATTTATCAGTTCAACTACTCCTGTGGAGCGAGTTATATTGGTCGAAGTTCTAGGAATTTACATTTTCGTGCTCGTGAACACCTTCCAGCGTGCCTAAATAAAGGTTTGATGAAGAAGGTGAACAGCTCAATATTGGCCCATTTAGTACAAACCGGTCATAGTGCCAGTATAAACCAATCTTTTTCAATTATTTATAAGGTAAGTAATTTCTTGCCAAAACTGATCAGACTGAAAGTCCTTCAAACGGCTGAAGCAATAGCCATCCGGATGAAGAAACCGGAGGTTTGCGTACAGAAGAAATATATTCAACCACTCCTCTTCCCCTGGCCAACATCAAGGCCAATTAATCAATCGTAATCTTAACTATTGAATGAACTAATTTGACTATGACCTTTTGTAGTCAATTGTAATTGTCCCTGTTATCTTTATTCATAAATCTTTGTATTATTATTATTATTCATACTATTGGTTAAACATCATTAATCTCCAATATACATGATTCATTCATTTCGCATTCACCCCTACGTATTACGCCTTACTTATTTGATCGAATTGTAATTGCACTATTATTTCTCTCTCACCCTATTTGACCCATATTTATTCTGATCATGGATCCTAAAATTTTACTTAACATATAAGCTGATTCAAGTTTACATTCTATATGAGTCATATTAACATTAACAATTTTATTGTATTTTGTTTATCACAATCCTAAATTCACATGCTCTAAACGATGTACTTTGCCCTTGACCTGGCCATTTTTTCGGATTATTAATTTGGATATATAATTGTAGAACCTGAAGAGAATTTATCGAAAAGAATATTCTTCGTTCAGATACTAGTCTTTTAAAATCAAATACCTTAAATTATTTAGTGAGAATGTGATGTGGGCAAGGTGAAAGCTTACCTTAGTGATTTCCATGACTTTAAATCCAATTCTCTACTAATTTGGGCTTCACGTTGAGAAGTAAAGTTCTTCAGAGCGAACATCAGACCTTCGTCTTCATCCCATGAATCCAAGTCCCCTGAGTCCTCAATTTTCGACGATTTACGGATAACTTTTTCCTATGATAGAATTTAAAAAGCCATCACTGATGTTCAGTCTTATAATTTTGATTTAAAAAACCGGCGTCGAAGAATTAGGCAACGTAAAAACATATTCATGACATAAACAAATGAATAGTAATAGCTGCTTACTTCAGACATAAGAGGGCGCGACCACAGATAATTTGTAAGAATTTTAGAACGATCTTCGATCGCCTTCGGGGGAGAAAGAGAATGTTCTCGGAGATAGTCGATAGCCACCGCGTCTAGTCGAGCAGGTAGAGATATAGGAGGCAGCTGTAGATAACATGGAAGTTGCTTTAACCTTGAAGCCCAGGTTGTTGAACATTCATCAGAGTCTTTGTTACGTTTTCGAGAGTTCTGTGGGGGCGGTGTTGAGAAAGTTGATTGTAGCTCATCAGACGCACGATATCGTAAACTCCCATTAATTAAACGGCCAGTGAAATCAACCACAGTTTTCCCACGAGAGGCCTAAACGATTTTCATTTCATGTATAACACAGAGCATACTCAGATATATGACACAAAATTTACGTATTTACGACAAATAAAAAGTTTGTTTAGAGAACTAATAAAGTTTTGAATTAGATGATAAAAACTTATGGGCTTTATGTATAATTTAGTTAAATTCGCTATTAATCTATGGTTCACTTCAGTCTCATGGTTATGAAGCGCTCGAATCACTTAGTGCCAAACAATCTAAATTAATTAAAAACAATCAAAGCAACCGACTAAACAGAACCAGAGGATAGTCAGGATAAGATTTTAAATCGATGATGAAATAAGTAGGAAACTTAAGTAGACTGATCAAAATATTCTCCAATTATTTGGAAGAGCATTTTAGGTCCAGTAAGATTGGGAAGGACTCAAATGTCAAGATTAAGTAGGAAAATGTATGAAAGAGAAAGAGATAATACCAGGGCAGTCAAACCAAGGTATTACATAAAACTTGTTGAAAAACCCTTGTCTAAGCCACACAAAGAAATGAGAACTTGAATAGACCATGGATAGATTTTGGGATGGTTGGGTATAGGTTCTAAAACACTAAACAAAAGCCAAGAAATTTCCTTTGACAAACTTAAAAGGACCAACAACTTACACACAGATGACGACTAGTAAGTGTACATACAGCTTAGTTGATATTTCGGAAAGTCAGTAAAGATCTGCTACATCAAAAATACGTGGAGTTGTTATACATTATATATTATGCAAACTTAAGGGGTCGTAAGTGCATATCTGGCACTTCGAAATTTTATTCAGAAGGCGAAGAACTCACTAATTAAGAGGACCACACAATATCAAGAAGTCAGCACAAATTTAGTTATATTAATTTTATTTTATTTGAACACATAAATATTGGTACAAGGGAGCGCCAATATATATGCGCCACACAAAACAATGAAAATTCGAAGAGAGAAAGAAAAAAAACTAGGGAGCACAAAAGAAAAAGAGAACGATAACGAAGAGATTGGTGTAAGGTAGTGTGGTAATAACGAGGGAACGGAAAGGTACAATTAGAAGAAATCTTTCAAGTAAGGGAGACACAACCACTTTTTATGAAGAAAGTAAAAGAAGGCTACAGCAGGATCGCCACTGGCTTCTATTCTGAGCCATATCTGATATCGTATCTAGCCACTGTGTAGCACCATCTCTCAGACCCCAACCAGGGAGTCGTGAAGGACCGACAGAAGTCAGTCCTTTGCAGCTTTCTTTCATCCCACGACACCATGTGTCATACACTGACCACCTCTCCGCTTTTTCCAACCAGTCACAGAGTCGGCAAATAATGCACGACGTGGAATTCTCTGGGACGACATTCGTAGAACATGTCCAAGCCACCGAAGTCGGTGTTTCAAGATGGTGACATCAATTGAATTATCATCTCTGTGCCCGAACACACAATGCAGAACCTCTGCATTACCAACATGGTGCAGCCGCTGCATGTCAGCAATCCTTCGGAGACAACGATGATCGAACACAGAGAGTCGTCTAACGTCCTCAACTCGGAGGCCAGGTTTCACAAGCATAGAGCAAAACTGCTCTCACCGACGCGTTGTAGATCCGACCTTTTACAGCCAGACTAACATCACGAAGGCGCCAATGGTGGCGCAGATTGGCATAAGCCGCTCTGGCTTTCACTATACGTGCATTGATCTCATCACTCACACCCCCACCAGCACTTATGCAGCTACCCAGATACACGAACTTCTCGACTACTTCTATCTGCTCACTATCCAGGGTGAGTACAGGATTACGATCCTGCTAGTCTTGTAGAAGTACTTTGCACTTCGAAGGTGCAAAGCACATACCATACCTACGGACACTGATTGCCAACTGATTAAGTGCGGATTACATGCCTTGGGCATTATCGCACAGTAAGACAATATCGTCCGCATACTCAAGGTGGGAGAGTCTTTCTCCAGGCAACAGATCCACACCGCCATTACTTAGATCCATCAGAGCTGTAGCCAGAATAACGTCGATGGCAAAGTTGAAAAGGAATGGTCCGATTAGGAAACTCTGTCTAACCCCACTGCTTGAATGGAGAGAGGTGGTTGTATGCCCTCACTCTGCCTGAGGTGTTTTTATATAGGGCTTTCAAGATGTTGATAAACACCTTAGATACACCACTCTTCAATAGACAATCCCAGAAAACAGTCCTATCCAACGAATCGAAAGCAGTCCTGATTTCAAGAAACACTACGATTGTTGGCCTTTGATAAGTATGGCGGTGTTCTAACATTTGGCGGAGGGTGATCAATACATCCTCGACCAGAACGAAACCCAGCCTGCTCCTCGCGAGTCAATCTTTCTCGGGTTTTGAACAACCTACGAAGTATGACGGAAGCCAATAGCTTGGACGCAATCGGAAGTAGACTTATCCCCCGATAATTGTTGCAGGAACGACGTGAACTCTTTTTAAAGATAGGGACAACTATCGACTCATTCCATGACGTTGGTACACTCTCTAGCTCCCACACCTTTGTAAACAACGTCGTCAGTCCCTTAGTCAGAAAGTCACCACCATCTTTAAAAAGAGTCGGAGGTAAGTCATCTGGGTCCGGTGATTTGTAGCGCTTCAAGAGTTGGAGTTCCTTGTGAACTTCCACCTCATTTGTTGGATCACTCTTCACCGACCATGGAGGGCAGGACAGTCTGACCGATGTTGCTGGAGCAGCAGGCCAGTTGAACTGACCTCCGAAGGATTCTGCCCATCGTCCAAGACGTCGATGGATGTTGGTGATTGGAATTCCGTAATTCTCGCAGATTGTTTCGCTCACACCAGACTTCTTGCTGCCAGTGGCTCGGATGGGTTGGAAGATCTTCCGGTAATTACCAGATGCAGCTGCTGCTTCCAGCTCATTAGCACGCTCCGACCACCAGGCTTCACGGTCCTTACGCAAGCTTTGCCCAATTTCCTTATGTAGCATCCTTCCTTTGTGGTCAAACTCACGGTCACCCGGAGTAGACCGACGGGCTTCAATGAGTTGTAAGGAACCTGAAGATACCCAGTGCTTATAAGCGGGACGTTTCGCGAACCCACAACTGACTGTACCCGCCATTTTCATGGCGTCATGCAATTGCAACCAATGCTCATCCATACTTTTCGGTGGAATGGTAGCTAGCCTAGAAGCTAGCTCGGTTCGATACTTATTTGTAACAGAAGTTGCAATCAGCTTGCTAATATCAATCCTTTGCTGGCGGTCACTTCGTTGTCCACTGAAAAGTAAGGCAAGATTGGCGCAGACCAAGGCATGGTCAGAGTCCAGATAGGTACTCGAAAAGGAGCGGCAGTCTTTTACACAACCACACCAGCGGTAGCTGATCGCGATGTGATCAATCTGAGTCCAGGCTTGGGATGCAGAGGGAGGACGCCAGGTGGCACATCGGCGATGACTGTGCCGAAAGTTAGTGCCAGCCAGAAACAGGTTGTGGTCTGTGCACAGTTGCAGTAGACGGCCCCCGTTATCTGACCTGCGACCAACGAATCCCCATCGGCCACCTAAACGACTCTCTTCTGCGCCTAGACGCCCGACCTGAGCATTCAAGTCTCCGGCTAGTACTACAATATCTGTCGAACGAACTTTCTGGAGAAGAACAGATAACTGGTGGTAAAACTCATCCTTGATTGCATCCGGGCTGCAATCTGTCAGAGCATAGGCAGAGATGACGAAAAGACATCGTTTCTCACGCCGATTTCTTCTCACTTTGATGGAGCTCTTTAATCTAACAGCACATAACCGACTGTTAATGGGGATCCAATCGACTAGTGCTGCCTCAGCTCTAGCGCTTAGTGCGACACCAACGCCAGCAAGACCAGACGAAGATGCCACAGGGTCCCCGGATAAGCGCACGTAAAACAAGCTTTTCGAAGCGACAGATGGAGATCGAATTTGTAGTACTTCGCCAGAGTCTTGAATACGGGTCTCGGATAGACAGCAAACATCAATATTAAGACTTTCCAAAGACATAGCCAGCCCTATCTGTTGTTCGACCTGCATTAGTGTGCGAACGTTGAAGGCAGCCAGTTTGAATGGTGCACGTGGTTTCAGAAAAACTGCTTCAGTTCTCGTATTCGGTGGTAACATACAATTTTCAACCGGACAGTGACTCGAGAACGTTTAGATACAGTCGAATTTCCACCAAAGACCAGCCGCTGTATAAGTATAAAAGAGGGTGATTAATGTGGAAAATAATAATAATGGTAATAATAGTATTAATAATGACAATAATTGTAATGATAATAATTTGAATCAATTTATTATTTTTTCGAAGCGAGAAAGGTAATTTCCATAGACATGAAGAGTTCATCATTTGTGTGTGGGCTGTGATACTGCCCGGGTGCCCAAACCGAAGCGAGTGATTACCTTAGGGGGCCACACCCCGAGCCTTTGACCTAATGGTCTAACCCACAAGGCAGTGGAGCATCGTGAGGAGATGCAGTCCCATGGAAGCCGGTGACCAAGGAATTGGTTCATACGCCATTTGTTCCCGTAGAATACTGCAGCCCATGTGCACCATTGGTTTGTGATCCGGTTAAAGTGCCGGACGTTCGCTTTTCGTCCTCTCATTTTCGTAAACAACACCCCCGCCACGAGAAGGCAATGAGCAGGACTTCCCTGGCAGAGGCTGTATACGCGTGGCCATGTGAGAGTATTTCGAGTGGGAGGGCGGACCCACCCCGCTCTCGGCCATACCAGGGCATTGTTTAATAAAGCAACCTTATAGGCGAAATCGAATCATCAATAGACTAGATAGTAAAAGACAAATCATACAATGTCGTTACACAACAGTCATTAATGGATTCTAAAGGCTTTATTATTACATAATATTATATTATAATACTATATGAACTTATTTCTAAAGGCCGAAATATTACTCAATGGGGAAATAAGGAGTGATGCTTGTTCAGACTTTTCTCTGCCAACAAAAACGAGTATTTCATAGATAAAATCAAATCTACACGAAAAGCTTGTAAAATATAGTGTTAAGGATGTGTTCCAATTTGTTGATAAAATCAAAAATGCAAATACGTTAGGACTAAAGATGATGTCATTGGATGTAATATCGTTATTCACAAACGTCCCACTCATAGACTGTAGAATATATAGGTGAACAGCTGATAGAAAATGAAATTGAAACTACTGTCCCTATTAGTGTCGTGAAAGAGTTATTACTCAAATGCACCATGAATGTAAATTTCAAGTTCAACGGTGAAATATATAGACAAACAGATGGCGTTCCGATGAGTATTTCGAGAGGGAGAGCGGACTCTCCCCACTCTCGGCCGTACCAGGGCGTTCGGGGGCTATATTAATAAGTGAGAATGGCATTAATTGGAAACAGAAAATAGAGTTGCTTAAGGTTTGTAAGATAAAGAGAACATTTTTATACTATCAGTGGTCACCAATCACCGATCTTTATCATCCCCAAATCAAGTGAGCGATTTTAGAGCTCGTGTCGTACATAACGTTGATTTTTTCAACTGTGTTCTGCTTTCGCCGGCATTGTAGGTTTCGGTAGGTGGTAGAGTTATATGTTACACATGAGTAGTTCAGTTAAAGTATTTTTGAAAACTTATTGACTGGTTTTACTTTCAGTTCACTCGGTGGTTTTCCCACATACGATGAGTGATTAAGAGACATGTGTGGTGTCATTAATATTATGACAATTAAACATAGTTAAGTACATGTTATTGCGCAAGACTGAGCGGTAGTAGAAGTGCTAATAATATTAGCTGAGTGCTTGAACCAAAGATGGTGCAGACTTAAAAATTCCAGACTGATAACTAAATATTTATCCATTAAGGTACCTCTTCAATGAAAGATACATCTGAACTTATATAGTGATAACATGACAATGAGATATGTTAAAAATGACAACTGATATGAAACATATTCAACTGTTATTAATGAGCTGATGGGTGTGGTATTCCGTAGATACGTTCGAGGGACTTATTTCTCGCTTAAATTCTTTACAAGGCTAACGAACTAACGTGTAGGAAGCATACTGAGTATAAGAAATAACATCAGTCTAAGTAAAATGTCTTGGCTAAGTAATTCTACATTTCTACGATGCATCTTGATTCAGTTATTTTTACTAACTAGTAGCCTTCAACCAGGATAAGTGAACATGTCTTAGAAATTTCCACAAAATCAGTTGATACAGCCGCAAAAAAGCTCAATAATAGTTAGTTTCTATAATAAGTAATTAATCGTCCTTTACTTAACAAGAATTTTAGTGCCGGTTTTCGTAATTATGAAACAGAAACCAACTATTTGCCATTTGAATCATCTGGTACTGTGATTAAACTAAGTAGAGCATGAACAACTACAAAATCATCGGGCTTCCAGCACACCCAAAATAAAAATCCGTGAAATATATGGAAGTTTCATTAGAACCACAGCAACTAAGACCTTGTTTCGGACCAAAAATCTTACGATCGACTCATGGGGACCAATATTGCATTAATAATCAGAAACTCTTCATGGTGAGAAAAAAATGTTAATTATACATCTTACTGCAGCACAGGAAGTTTTGTCATGTTTTTGGCTCATATGCAAATACGAGTAGTCACCATATGCTTGGCGTAATCCTTTGATTTTGAAAACACCTAATGGAGTCCTTTTAAGTAACATTTTCAGTAAAAATATGATCTAAAAAATGACAGGTTTCACATACCGTGAACGACAATATGGTTGAGAAACAAAAGATAAACTATGATTATGTCGCCCCCTTATATGATGAACACTTTAATGAACATAAGTTGGATGATGTTAAACTGCATAAGGCTAACCACAAATAGGATGTAAATCGTCACAGGAAACTGTAAAACTGAAATTTTGTGGTGACAGTAATTCCGCAAAGCAATCGGATAATTAACACAATGCAATGGACAACAATCTATTTATGAAAAGAGGGGTGAGGGAACGTCTTAATCAAATTTTCTGCTGCGCCAAACAGGAGAACTTGAAACCACCACTCCACCTCGGCAACCTTGAAGGTATTGGCTCAGTTTCAGTTTGGAAAATACAGGAGGCTCGATGGCCTATGTTAGTCCTGGCAATGGTGGTCTCTCAGCTGATCCAACTTTCTTTTGAAAGTGTCGACGGATGAAGCCCTAACTACGTGCTGAGGTAATGAATTCCACTCGTTGATGATTCGATAGGAAAGTCGATAGTCAGCTGACAAGAAATTTGTTCTCGGCTTGTGAACTTTTTTGATGTGTCCTCGTAAATTCTTCGTTTCGGAAGACAAGAAAAATGAGGGCATATCAGGTGCAAATTTACCACTAAGCAATTTGTAGACTGTAATCAAGTCGCCTCTAGTTCTGCGATATGACAATGGGAAAAGGTTCAGCTTGGCCAGTCGAGATTCATATGGAAGCTTCGCTATTCAGGGAACCAGCTTAGTCGCCGTTCTCTGGACCTTTTCCAGAAGCTCACTGACTTTTTTAAACCAGCGGCTAGCCGCTTGTATGCAGTACTCAAGTTTAGGACGTACGAACACTGTATACAAAGTCAAAAACGTCTTAGTGTCGACATGACTGAAAGCCCTACGTATTGACCATAACGATCTAAAACTTTTGGCGGCTATTGCACGGCAGTGTGCAGTAGTCTTTAAGTCTTGGCTAACGATGACTACTAAGTCATTATATGTCTGGACGACAGGTAGCTCAGTGTTATTCATCGTGTATGTATCTGTACCTTGATGACCGATATGCATCACAACACACTTGGAAGTATTTATCGGCAACTGCCATGTTTGAGACCATTCAGATAATTTCTTCAGGTCATTTTGGGGCACTCCACTAAGTACAGTTTCCCAGCTAGATAACTTTGAGTTCACCCGAACTCTTTGTTGACGCCCAACTAAGAAGTCTTTTATCCACATCAATAAATTGCTTCCAATCCCGACATTTCTTATTTTATATAACAGCCGGTTGTGCGGATCCTTGTCAAAAGCTTTGCTGAAATCAATGAAGTCTACATTTACAGGTAACTTTTGGTCTTTAAGAGCTCACCTGCTTTCACGAGCCATTAATAAGTTAGTGAGACAAGAGTAATTATTCTGAAACCGAGCTGCTTCTCAGAAAGGATCCGGTTTTTATCGAGATACTTAAACAGCTACTTCCGAATAATCTTTTTCAAGATTTTAACAACCACACTAGTTAGGCTAACGGGGTGGTAATTCTCAGGTTTGTGTTTCGTACCTGTTTTGAAGACAGGACTTACTATGGCGTTTTTCAGTCTTTCGGTAAACGACCCTCCGTTACGGATAGGTTAAAGCACATACTTAAAGGGTTCGCAACTAAGTTAGATAATTTCTTCAGTAGCCTAGGATGTAATCCATCGGGCCTCGTGGATTTACCTATGTCAAGCTTATTTAGCAAACCAAAGACATCGAGTTCTTTAATGGTCACGCTATCCCGTGTATGTATGGGGAGATTTGTATGAGCTGACGTGAAGGGTACTTCTATGGTGTATACATTGCTAAAGTAGTTTGAGAACAATTGAGCCCTACCAAAGTCGTCCTCCACGAATGATGAAGCAGTACTATCTCCTCATAGAGCAGGAATATTTACTTTTCTCCTTGTCCTTTGGTTTATATAGGAATACAAGCGTTTAGGACATTCTATGGATTCCTCAACAAGTTTTTCTTCGTACAATTTTTTAGACTTACGGAGGGTCGAGGCACAAGTGTTCCGAGCCTTTTGATACTGAGATTTTGACTCCTCAGTCCCCAGTAACCTAAATCTATCCCACAGTTTCCTCTTCTTACGAAGAAGGATGCGGACCTTCCTACTGAACCATGGTGGGGAGTTTCTCGGTCCCCTTGGTATAGTCCAAGGGATGTGAGGTGTGGTAACTTTTAAGTATGAATTTCGAAATGCGTCCCAGGCCGTTTCAACTGAGGACTCTGGGTTTATTGTCCAATCTATTAACGATACTGAGTGCATGATGTCTGATATGTTTGCTTTCCAGACGTTGGGTCTGGACTGGACTGACGCGTCCTCATGACTGACAGTTATATGGAAGTCGAAAGTTAAAACTGCGTGGTCACTTTAACCTAAGGGTGGCATATGATGGAGGTTCGCAACATCATCCTCATAGTGAGTCAGTATAAGATCTAGTCAGGATGATTCAGTGTCCGGTTCGTACCTTGTCGCTTCTTTCACATGTTGCACTAGAGCACATGTGATAACCGCACCAACTAGTTCCTGCTCGAAAGAATTCTCCGACGATTCAGTTCGCAGATTTTTCCAGTCTACCATAGGTGCATTAAAGTCCCCTAGGATTATACATCGATCACTTTGTGAACACGTATTGAGACTGCTTAGCAGGACCTCATTTACCTCATAGCTTGGACTGCGATAGACCAAACCAATCAGCAGCTCTTGTCCCTTGCATTTTAGGCGAAGACAAACTAATTCACACGTCCCACTCTCATGGGATACACTATCGATAATGGTAAATGGGATAGCATTCCTAATGAATAGAGCTACTGCCCCTCCTTTGTGCTTTTGTGTTCTGTCGGCCCTTACTAACGTAAAACCCTCGAAATCAAGTTCTATACTATCTATAGCCTGTATCAGCCAGGTTTCTGTTACTGCGATTATGTCTGGCTTTGTAGAGTCAATCTGTACACCTAGTTCCGATCGCTTATTAAGTAAGCTTCGTGCATTGGTGTAACAGATCCGAAGCCCGTTTTAGTGGCTTTGTGCTTCACTCATATTGGCTTCGGCATCATTCTCTGTCGAAGTCTTACAACCCGAAAATTTACAATTTTCAGGTCCTTTTCGCCAGCGTCTAACTTATGTTGTAGTTCTTTTTCGGCTTACCGTCTTTTGACACTGTCTGCCAACGCCAAGTCCTTACGGATAAAAGCTCCTGAACCCTTTGATTTATGTCCATTCTGTAAGATTAGGTTGCGTTCATTTGAATACTACTCTAAGTAGTTGTGATTGATCAGGCTTCAAGTTCGCTAGACTACCTAGTCTGTATACCTTTAGCATGGTGACTCCGGGCATATTTTGAGGCATGAGTTGATTAAGTAGCTTTTTTATCAGCACAATGTCATGCTCAAAACGAGTTTTTGGTTCAGAGCTATCGCTCTCCTTGATTTTATGAAAAATAGCTGATCTGTCGCTATGATCAACTTTCGATTTTTCAACCACTTTTACGGGGGCAGGTTTCCCTTTTATATCCCTACTTTTCTTCCTTACCGCCTTTACCCATTCGTCAGTGGTGCTGGTAGAAGCAATAGCAGTTGCGTCAAACCTAGTGTTGGGTTTTGTGGGGTTGTTGACGACCTGAGGGGTCGTGTTATGTTTACCGTTTGAAACCGATCGAGCCTTGCCATTGCGGCTTCTAGGTATTTCCTGTTGGATCCCATCTGGGAGACGGGGAAAAGAAGACCCTACTTTTCTAGAGCTTTTGTCTAAGGCAGGCCTCTTTGGAGACTGGCTCAAAGTTGTCATTTCATTTTTGAATTACCTACTGTCGGTGGCCTCTTTGTAGTCTAGCTGAACTTAGTTTTTATGTGAGCTTTAAGGAGACTTCTATATCCCAGAAAACGCCGAATAATATATAGCCATGTGCATCATATGTTTTGCCTATCTTTCATTTGATGAAAACTTCTGCGTTACGCATTTCAGTTTTCGGCTAGCAATTGGTGGGCTTGTATATTTCATCCTTTTCAAACTACCATAATTATGTAGTAACAGTGCGTTAAGTACTTCTAAGAGTACATTAACTGACCTAACTGATACTTCTCAGTAAGCCATCCTATCTCAAATGTTTTTGACGTAGGAGGAATCCGAAATTGCATAGAAAGTCGTCTAGAGTGTAAAAAAGGTATAGTCTTGGCAATTTCAGATGACGTGTACTGATGAAGTCTACTTACAAAGTTAGTAGTCCTTTTTCCTTTGACGCCTCAATAATAATTACACGCAGCTGCTGTCTTTAGGACAACATGCTTGTATAGGCAATTATCGTTACTTTCAATGGTTAAGATCATGAGTCAATTGAAGCTAGACCACCATGGAAAACCTGGAAGCACTGGACGGCCGTTTCGTCCTATTGTGGGACTCCTCAGCAGTGCGCATCCACGACATCGCCCCCTGCGAGATTCGAACCCAAGACTTACTGGTTTCGCGCCCGAGCACTTAACCATTAGACCACTGAGCTGGCATCCAACGGTGGATGCGCACTGCTGAGGAGTCCCACAATAGGACGAAACGGCCGTCCAGTGCTTTCAGGTTTTCCATGGTGGTCTAGCTTCAACTGACTCATGATCTTAACCATTGGAATTACTACAATCTCCACAGAAACCCATCTGAAATTATCGTTACCATTATGTGGGAGAGACTACATTTTGTGGGTGAAATAGTCAATATTTAACGCGCGCTAATTAAAAGGACCGTGGTATTTTTCCTCACTGAGTAAATCTTATTCTTTTGATCGTTTATTACATATCAAGACTACTGTTTTTACTTTAATTGGATTTATTTCCGTTAAAGTCTTCGACCAGAGTATCGTTACTGCTTCTAAATTAGTTTTTCGCCGGTACTTTTGAGTACTTTTTTTCTGTTCCATTTGTTAGTACTTTTGGTTCTAACAACTTACAGGTTTTCACTTTTTCGGACATAGATCATTTTTGTTTCTGAGTATTATTTTATCTAGTTCATTTTTTTTTAGAAAAAAGACCTGTCTGATGACTGGACAGTGCAAAAAAGTATTTGTCAACATCCGGACTGTCATTATCTCGTTGAAAGCGGCATGCAGTGCGATGAGTGCAAAAGCTGGTACCACGAAGTTCGCACAAATTGAACGCCTGCGGCTTTCAAACGGTTCAGTAAGATCGGATGCTTACGGCTCTTTCAACAGTCCTGTTCGGATGCAAACAGCTTGCTAGCCGAGGGCATCTTATTAGTATGTGTTGCGAAAAAGTGTTTTGGCAAGCGTGATCGGTGCACATCGAACAGCACTCACTCTGT